ATATATTTTATCAGGTTATATAAGTATGCAGTAGTCACATTTCACGATTATACAATTTATACAGATATTTTAATAGATTATAAATATATATATATATACAGATATGAGATCGTTGAACAATAATAACAATAACAATAATAATAATAACAATAATAACAATTTAATAATTTATGCGGTGATGACCGTGCGCGTACGTCGAAATGTTGTCCGGCAACACGTAACGCTTGTCGTCTGCCCTGTTCAAGACGAGTTTCATAGATCTAATTGTGCGTAACTCGTGCTTAAACGAGCGTATAGACACATTTTCCCTATACGGCGTGAATGGCATGTAGCTGTAGACGTGGGATGGATGCGTGACCGCCGTCGCCGCAACCGTCGTCGACGAGTTGGTTGAGCCGGTTGAGGCGTTCCGATGAATTTGAGCGACAGCTTTAAGTGCGGAATCGGCAGCGAACATTTTCCCCATATTTGCGTCGAATTCGTCGTCGCACTCGTCGGATTCCGCATCGTCGTCCACGTCGGCAAACAAACACCTCTTATGCTCGGCGAATGTGAGGTGATTTCTAATAACGTGCCTCATGACACCCTTCGAGCGAATTGTGACCTCCTGTTCCACGTCGTATGCATACGATTTCGCTCGTAACGCGACATACTCGTAGACTGTACGGGAATTGGTTTCGTTTTTAAAAAGACCCGGCACCCGTTTCCTCAAAGTTGAATAACATTTGTGGTCTTTCGGCAAATTGGAAGTATCCATGAACCGCATCAGATTTGGGTTGTCTATCAAGTCGGCGTAAAAATCGTCTGTCACCACGCGGTAGAATAGTGAATCTGAAACATTTAATAATAATATAATATAAAAACTGCGTTAGACTGCATTAGTTCGATATAGACGTACCGGTATCTGTGTAAAGTAATTCGATCTTATCTCCGTAATGTCTCTTCATAACGTCATAGTGAAATCCGTACATTAGAACTTTGCTGAGTTCCAGTACGGTAAATCCTATATATATCGGCTTACAGAAATCCACTTCTTTACTGTGCTGCGTGACCGCCGATAGATTTTCGTTGTACGTCGTGCAGTACTTGAATGTGGGACGGTTTATCAGCTTTCGCATCCTGGCGGGGCAAGATACGAGTTCCAAGTTGAATCTGGCCCGCATATTTTCAATCGATTTCCCTGCAGACATACAATAATCACGATGTAAAGCTTGTACCGTTTAAAGTTCGGAAAAATAAAAATTATAAGTAAATGGTTAAATTGTGAAATAAATTTATAAGAAAACGTACCGAACACTGAATTATTCAAATCTTTAAAAAATTGTTCTTCAAATTTGTTCACCGCCTGTCTGCGTAATTCGGTGTTAAAATTGATGTATGGCGCTAACCACGGGGATTGGCGGAACTCCAACACTCTATGTGTCTGTAATGCGTACGAAAAAGTTATAAGATGCGATTCGTATACAAATAATAATAATAATAATAATATTAATAATCACTTTTTCGACTACCACACCGTGGGCCATGGCCTGTTTCAAATTCATATAATGAACTACATAACGTTCTTTCCTCAAAAAAGTGACCATCAACTTTCGCACTGAGGACCCGTGTGGTATGCTGGCGTGGGGCAAGAACGGCATATCGTTGTGGGCGTCGTGCAGGTGTTGAGGATACGAGATGTCTACTTCATAAATTCTACCCACGTCGTCCGTCTCGCCCATCCACTCCAGCTGGGCCAGCGCAACTTCCGGATTCCCTGGGTACCATGTGAAATCGCTAATAGGCATATACTTGCACATCGCGTACCCGTACAAATTGTTTGCTAAATTATTATGGAAAAAAACGGATTAATATATACACATATATAATTTATATTATAATATAATCACCATCCAAGTATATGAGAGACGTGCTAGGTTCGTCGGCATTGTATCCCGGCGTCGCGGGATTGTTGGCACGAGCGTGACGCCTACTAGCCTGCACCAGACCCCCGCGCGTCCCTGCCTCAGTAAACAGAACTTTCTCGAAATCAGTTAAAAGTTCAAGTTGAACTTTTGTAAACTTTAGCATGCAGTCAAAACTGAATCCGGGCGACGTGTAGTAATGCGCGGGGTCCAGGTGATATGTGGCCATACATATATCCCTGAAATTCTCGAACACGTCGGCGCTTAACACCACGTCGACTTTAAGGTATAAATCGCTATAAGCGCCGAGTGAGGTGCAGCCGAAATGATTCCAGACTCTGGTCGCGTGACTATAATCCTCGTCGCTCACGTGCGTCTCCGTCAACGCGCTGTAGAATTGGAACTTATCCGGCAGCGACGTAGCGTCCAATTTATCCCACGAATCTGTATATTCATACGGGTATACGCCTTTCCGCGTGACCAACTCCATCTCCGAAGGGGCGAACACTTTCGCGACTTCGCGAAACTTGTCGAAATTTGCGGTGGTGAGGTTCTCCGCCAAGTGTGCCAAGCTCGACGCCATGAACCGGCACGTGTCTATGAACCTGACGGAGAACGAGTTGTTAATATACCTCGAGAATGAGATATATTTCTCCTCGGTGTTCGCTATTACCGAAATTCTGTTAGTGTCACCCCCGTTCGCCAAATTCGTCACGATAAAATGCGCGTCATAGTTGGACAGATTATGTAGGAAGCATGGTACGAAATTAGGTGTTTTTAATTTGAGGTTGCACGTGTTGCACAATGTTTTTAGAAAACGTCCCGACAAGTGGTCGTGGTGTGCTGTTTTACAGTTGCGCTCACTAAACGCACAGGCGCACAAGTCACACATTATCTTGACGCCATGCACGCGACTATCCTCAACACTCATAATAATCGGTACAATTACTTCTTTGTATAATCTGGCTATCTTTTCGGCCACGCCGAGCACGTCGCTGACAAAACGCTCGGCCACATCGTCATCGGTCGCCGAACCACGGAAAATGACCGGAGCCCGCGGTATATCGTACTGGTCGAACAAGTCTGTCGGCACCCCCTCCGCTGCGATGACCAGGTAGCCGTAACTCATGGGGTGGTGTGTGTGTATCGCAGTGGTATTCGCGCCTTGTCTCCGGTCCGTTTTCAGTAGTAGGGCTTCAAAGTCGGCATACACTACGAACGGTAGGCGTTCAGTCTTACGCCACGCCTCGAATTTGAGCGTGTCCCCTTCTTTAGGCATTAGAGGCAATACGGGTTTGTGCTCACCGCATAACAATCGATGCTTAGCCAACGCTTGTTCGCCGTGCAATTTATATTTCAGAGGTTGATTGTCGAAGCTGGCGAAGCATCTCTTGCAGAAAAATAAACGATGATCATGGCTATTTTTTTGCGGACTTGCTAGGCGCGAAAAATTCGAAATATAAGCATAATGGTTGTCACCATCCTTCCCGGTGATTAGGAGGAGGTCGAAATGATTTTCCTTTTCTTCGTCTACGACGCGCAGTGGATATGCGACGGACTGTGTGGACGACTTTTTATTTTTTTTATTTTTCGCGCTTTTTCTTACGCCGTATAAATTGACGCTCGTCCCGGGATTTGACTTTTCAAATAACATTAACTCCGACACGGGGGTGGGGGTCGATAGTGCAGAAAAGTCGTAGCGGTGTTCTTCCCTAGAATAATTTGCACCTACTCGTGTGCGATTGTCATGTGACACGTGTTTGGCGAGGATCGCCCACTTGAAGCATTGCTGGTCGATATTTTTAGGGTTGACGACTGCTTTCCGGTTCAGAATACTCTCCGGCAACGGTAAGTACGACGATCCCCCCATAGGCGTATATTCGTACACACCCAAGAGCAGTCCGTCGATACACGATAAGGTGAACCCGCTATACTTTCCGGCGTAAGAGTCTTCTTCCCCCAGGAGCCTTGTGAAATCGCGATCGACCAAAGCCTCGACATTACTGTGCACGTATAATTCGCGGGCCGAAGTTTTAAACGCACGGTTTTGATCTGAATTGTGTAAATTTGGTACGACATATGTGGCCTCTAATTTCAGGTTGTATTTGATCGGGTTAATACGCCCGCACTCGCGTAATTTCGCGACTAATTCGGACTCTATTGAATTTAGGAAAGCTCGGTAACTTGTCACATTATCGATATTTTTCCTAAAATACCACACGATAGTACGATTGAGCGAAGACTCGATCTCAATAAAGCCCGGCCTATTTACCCTTAGCATACGTGACTTTTTCCGTTTGATGTTTTTCGGAGTATTTTCTGTATGAGCAACAAATTCCCCGGTTGGCGGCGGTGAAAGCGAAAGCGGTAGTGCGGCGGTCGCGGGGGATCTTGTGTCGGGTTCGTCGACGATAGCCTGTGCGGGTGGCGGGGAAACGATAATCGGTGTGCGGCTGGACAATGACGATGATGAGGCTTGAGGTTGGGGGGTAGGTATGTCCACACGACGACGGCGTGACGAGATGACCGTCGGAGTCAGAACATCTGGCCGAGCATGCGGTGTAGCGGCGGAGGGTGCCCACTTTATGACTGATGTGCGACCTAACATATATATAATTAATATATTATTATTATTATTATTATCGTTATTATTATTATTTATAAGAGAAAAAAATTATTTACCCATTGCACCACCTACTCGTACAGCACTGTGGAATTCTGGAGTGTTTTTAGCGATCTCTATTTTAAAAATAATTTAATTAATAACCCAGAGTATTGTCGATACGAAAAAAACATCGTGTGTATTTTCCGGGTTGATGAAAAATAATAATATTCAATGTACTTACTATGGCATTTTTGAACGTGAATATTGAGGTTGTTCCGCTGGACGAACGTCTTGAAGCATATTCCACACGAAATCACTGATCCATCGTGGGTTTTAGCGTGTCTGTTCAAATCGCGCTTATGTACGTACACTTTTTCACATAACACACAGTTAAACATTTTTAAATATTTTATACTAGAGAAGTTATTTTAACGGAGTGAGCGAGGTAATACGAATGTACACCAGTTGTCATCGAGTTGCACTGACCGTCTGATTTGTAGAACATATGCGCCGGCGGTGGACCCGAATATCGGATGCTGTGGTGGGCGGTCGGGTGGTGAGGGGTATCGGACATTATCTATAAAGGCTGTAGAAATATTCGACCGCTAGTACCAAGTGCTGCTGGGGTATAATAAATTTTATAATTAACGGACGCAATATGCACATGTGTTGACCATGATAACGACACCAGCGGTGATAATAATATTTTGCAGATCTGCCTACGACAGTTAACACTGTTATCTGATAACTGGAGATAACTAAATATTTTAATTTATATTATTATTATTCTGTATATGTATTGCAACGCCCGCTAGCTTTCGGCATATAACCGACAGTTGCTTACAGACGGTTACACTGGTTAGAAGCGTCTTATTCACGTTTAAACGTTAACAGTTGGAACGCATTATTTACGATTTAAAATATTTTTCTACGATTCATTTGCAATGAATATATTACAATGTGCCGTCGGTTGCCGATCACTAGTGATTTTGGTACATGAGAACTCGGATCCGGAATATCCTCAGTATACAAGCTTTTTATCGAGGTTGAAAACATTCGATTCACACCCGGCTCGATCACATCAAGATAAATATTCACTGGCCTCCAGCGGATTCACTTATACCGGGACTGAGGATTTGGTTCAATGTCACTACTGCGGGTTATTGTTGGGGCAATGGGTGGAAAATGACAAAGTGTGGCAGCAACACGCCCTGCACAACCCTAAATGTGTATTCGTATTATTGTATAAAGGCATGGAATTCATTGAAAATGTAAAAAATGAATTTAATCTCAAACGTAGTGATAATAGAGGCATTCGAGACTGTTGTCGTTGTAAATCAGAACCGTATGATGTTGGTAATAATCGCGATAATGGTAATAGTCAAGCCCGTATATGTAAATCTGAATCGTATGATGTCGTCGGGTGATAAACACCCATGTTCATTATAACACAATAACCTATATAATATGTATGTATATGATATTTGTATTGAATAAACATCGAATTATATTAAACAATTAAATCGTGTTAGTATTTGACTTGGTATCCTGGTAAAAGTATGTATGTATGTATGTATGTATATATATATAATATGATAAGGATAATATTGAAATATAATATGATAAAATTCGAAAAACCGCGTCCGTCCGATTAGCGCCTAGATGGCGCCCCGTCGGTGATAATATAATACGATGAGCCCGCCGCGTCGCGGACAGAGCGCGCCGCGGACGGGGTGGACGCCACGGACGGGGTGGACGCCACGCGGCGAGCGTCTAATGGGCGGGGCGGTGCGGAGGTGTAGCGGGGTGGGGTGGTGTGGTGTACGTTCCCGAGGGCGGGGGCGGTGTTGAAGTAGGTAGGAGGTGAGGCGGGGGGTTATCAAGCGTGGACAACGTTACCGAGGTATGGTTGGGGTGGGGTGGGGACCGTGATGACGTAGGTATTGGTAGAAGGCGAGGCGGGGGGATATCAAGCGCGGTGGAAGTTACCGAGGTATGGTTGCGGGGTGAGGCGGGGGGTTACCAAGCGCGGTCAACGTGACCAAGGTATGGTTGGGGGGTGAGGCGGGGGGATATCAAGCGCGGTCAAGCGCAGTATAGGCGGAGGGGGTGGTGAAGCGGGGGGTTATCAAGCGTGGTCAACGTGGGCGAGGTATGGTTGGGGGATGAGGCGGGGGGTTATCAAGCGTGGCCAACGTGGGCGAGGTATGGATGGGGGGTGAGGCGGGGGGTTATCAAGCGCGATCAAGCGCGATCAAGCGCGATCAAGCGCAGTATAGGCGGGGGGGTGGTGAAGCGGGGGGGACCCAGAACCGGCTATTTCATACTACTTACTTCATCAGCTTCTAGTTCAATTCTGAGGTCAACAGTTGACATTTGTCATTTTCACGTTGTCGTTCTGTCGGATCATGTCAACAACTATGATTGGAGAGTGATTTTTGAATTCTGATCGGTTCAATAGAGGTGTTACATCGTCGTGACCGTAGTAAGATTTTTGGAACTCTGCATACGCGCGGTAAAATGTCGCCATCTTATTCTTGTTAAAGTCACTTTAAAAATCTTCATATGGAAATACTTCGGAGTTGAAATAGACTTTCAAGTTTTTAATTTTACAATGATCGAAATATGACATTGCTTTACTTGTGCTATTTTTCCTATCAGTTTGAAATCCGATTATAACATATCGAGGTTTTTCTAACTTGTTGGATGTCTTTACTTTCCACGAATGTGAAGTGTTTTGAGGTAAAAATGGGTATTCAAACAGTTCCCACGATCTGAACGTACATGTCAGGGGTTTTTGACTGTTGACTACTTTCAACATTCAAATTTTTTCTCTATCGATAACTCTCACTATAGGCATTCGCCACAATATTTTTGTTATGTTTATTTTAACGTCTTTTAATTTAGGAGCGTCTACGACAGCTTCATTATTTTTATACTGCTTGATGGCATTCATATCAATCGAAGCTCTATTTAATATGAGTTTCTGGCTACAGTTTATTAAAATGCGTTTAAAATCTTCGCAAAAACCAAACAAATGCTTAAGATTAATACATCCGTTAAAATTACCGCTATCAATAAAATCTTTATTAACATTTTTAAAATCACTATCCCAGGCAGCGTTTTGGTGTGAGGAAATATTTGTTTTATTGTACTGCTCGTATCCTTTTAATGTGGTCGTTATACCCGGATTGACGAGTTTCTGAATTTGATTTCCGTTTATTTCATATTTCATTTCGGAGAAAAGAAATGCCAGTCCGTTGTTTATAAATCTAATCTCGTCAGTTATTTCTGTAGGTTTGGTTATTGTTCCCTCGATGTAAATATAACTCTCGCACGGTAAAGTATAAGACTCTGTGTTATGTAAAACAATACGCACCTCATCATTGTTAGAAAGAGCGGATGTTGAATACGGTAAAAAAGAATGATAATCAATTTGTGTTATTTTACAATCGTCGATGTATCCAGCCGTGACGTCTAAATATGTGTCGTCCATATTAAATGACGTCAATCGAGCGTAGAAAAGCCAAATTATCAGGTGTTAGACTATGTTTAGTCTGTTTTCGTCTCGAATATTTTTTCTTCTTCGGAGTTATTACCTTGTTAGTGTTTTTGTGTGTGACTAACGGGTTTTTCATATACAGCCCTATTTATATTGTAAAATTGAAGCCCCATCACGAGTCTTGAATTAATAATCTTATTAATACCGGTTCGCCTAGTAGATCGATCAACTCGCCGTCCTGATTTTTTAAAATTATACTTGCGTGTGTTATAGATGCAGAATTAATGGAGTAAAAAACCAAATGTGTTGGTATATCTATTATTTTATAGCCTGGAGGAACATTCGGACAAAACTCGTGGATTGTATGGCACTGCTTACCGTTGACGAATGAACACATAACTAGATTTGAATCGATATATAAATATAGTTTGTTTTGGTAATGTTGACCAACGTATCTGATTCGTGATTGACATTAGCTGAATATTTACTATTTTTGAATCCCAACAACTGTCCTATACTATTAGTCATACGAAAATCTACAGTTTCACTTCATTGTACATTTTAGTGTATTATTATCTGCTTTAAACTCGAATAAAGTATCTGTATTATGCAATACACGTTTTATAGCTGTTTCAATTTCATTCAATTCATAAGAGCCGGTAGGTATTACATATCTATCGCTATTCATATTGTTATCATTACTATATGTGAAGCATATTTTATTACACTTTTCGTTTACGTTAGGAATAGAATTATTCGTTTGAAAACCTAACAGAGAGATTTTTGCATTTTTACTGACTTCTATCGGTGGAAAAAAGTCACATGACAATTCGCTCGAGTTATCGGTTAACGTTATAGTGTACATGATAACAATTTTAAACACAGATGACCACAGTTTGTTGTGTTATATTTCTGATGTTTCTCGTAGTTATATTCGATATTGCAACCGTTGAAATATTTCTGTAATTCTAACGGTGGCATTAAATTTCTATAACTATCATAATATTTAACTTTTTTTCCGATTTTCTTATACGCTACCCAATGAGTAACTATTCCGTTTTCGAAGTCTAAATTAACTACAGCTGACTCTTGATGTTTTGCTAGTCGAGGCAACTCGTCTCTAGCAAATACACCGATGAAATGAGGAATTTTCAACATGTCAGCGTATTTTATAATCTCATAATCGTACAACGCTCTACCGGGTAACGTAGAAATTAGTTTTTTGACCTTGATTTCTTAACTGAACAGCCCTTGTGTGGTGCTAGGTATAAACCTTTACCTTTTACGATTTTGTAAGAACTACCCTTGTGAGGAGTAAGATATAATCCTTTGCCTAAATGAATAGGAGAGTTTTTTCCAGAATTCAATTCTTTCACGACTTTTACTATATTACCTACTCCCCCGGTAAGCGCGCCTAATGCTGATAAACCAGAAAAAATAGGAATTAAAGGTAGAATACCACCCTTTTTCGGTATTGGTATAATTCTTGGTGTTTTAGTTTTTTTGTTTTTAGTTTTTTTAGCTTTTTCCCCGCTTACAGACATGTTCTTACTAATTTTGTAATATTATTTTCGTTCATTTTTTTTTTTGATGGAATTTTTAGCAGCCAAAACCATTTGTTTAAATCCGCAACCAGCTCCAATCTTACGTTTGACCTTCATAGCTGTAGTAACTAGCCAAGACGCCACTTTTTCCTTGATACCTGTGTTTTTAGATTTAAACACTTCCTAAGCCTGATTTTCTAATACTTTGTCTGCTCTATGCCGATCAGTTAGCGAATTACTTTCTTCGTATGCGATATCGTGCGCTCTGGCCAACTCGTCAAGTCTGTTTATACCACGTTCTCCTCGTGCTAATCTTTGTTTCAATTTAGTTCCGGGACCGGCAAATCTATAA